GTTAAAACTTTAAGTAGTAAGAACGACCTATGTTTTTCATCCACAGAAAGTGATACATTATACTATGCAGTATGTAATTAAGATAAAATACTAAACACATTGAGAATCTAAAGTTGTCTCCTGAGAAAATTGAAGATGAGTAGAAGATGCAACCCTCATTTGTTAAAACTTTGGTACCATATTTAATTCTTACATTTAGTGATGACGAAATGGTGAGGGCTGGTCAAAATATAGATTTCCCGGGCTGAATAGTTGCCCCAGTCCGCCCCTGATTTTCGCCATGTAGTGGGAAATGTCGTGGGAACAGTACTTGTAGGTACGAATATTTGGTGTTTGGCATTTTCAGTGTTTGTTATTCGCCATTTTTCCGTGGATGACAATCATATTAATATGTCTGTCATACTGTCATAGTGACACGAATCGACAAAAATTGCATTACCAATATAGATATTTGATCGTGGAGAAATAAGTTTACGGCGTATAGGAAACGGATCGTGTAGATTAAAATATCCGTCAAATAAAACCAGTTGGTCGGGCAACTTAACTATGGAGGTCCATGTAATACGTATTATAATACCCTTCAGTAGGTTTAATTGAATTATTATTATTTATTGTACATGCCAAATATTATTATATTTATTGTATATATTGTATAATATAATATTATATTGTATGGTTATACTTTATGGTAAGTACTGAGTAGTGACTATAATGAGTACTCTGATATTCTCCGATTTATCATCATAATTCATAACATCTGATTTATGCGTCATCAAATATAATTACTTACCTAGTGCATTATCGTGTAAACCAAATTGTATACACTTAAATAGAACTTTATTATTGTTTTTATCAGGTGTTATACTACTAAGTAATAGTTTATGACTTATGAGTGTATTCTTAATACATTTTTTTCTATAAATTGAATCTATAGCCTATTTTCATTATTACAGATTCAATGGTTCATTGTACTATTGTACTATTCTACTATATTCTTCTAATTTATTCTTTAATTTAACCTAAAAAACAATTATATTCTAATTTCTAATTTAATTTATTTATTATTCAAAATCCCATTGTCAATATAACCTAATTTTATCACAGTCTATATTTAAAAGTAATCTTTGAATTTAAACTTTGGTAGCATAGTGTGACCGATACTAGAATTAACATTTGTTTAAAAATATTTTGAATTGCCTTAGAAGTTAGAACTTGATAAATCTTATTCTTGTAGTAATTTAATCATTAAATTGCTATACAATTTAAAAATACGCTATTATAATGTGAATATTGTACTGCGTGGTATTTTATTAGTTTACCTTTACGTTTATACTTTATTGTACCTATAACATATTTTTATGGTGATCGTTAAAAGTAAATTTTGTGATTCATGGTGTGTTCACGGCCGTTTGTAAGTATATATGATGTGAGCTAATGACAATATGTATAATGCACATACAAGCACGAAGAACACACGTAGAGGTAAAAGACAAAAGTATAAATGACTCCCTTATTTACTTTTGAGGTGAATATTTTCACTTTTGATTGGTATTTATAATCTTATACAAACAAGTGGGCGAAAACGAAGTCAAGGCAGAGTTTTGCAATTTGGAAGTTGTTGAGATTATTTCGATCATATACGCAATTTCTAATTTAACAGTTGGAAAATTATTCAACTTATCTTATTGGTGTCTCCTTTTTGTCATCACACATTATGCTACATGACGCCATCAATGAATATTATTATATTCGTTCTCATCTCATTGTTACTTTTTAGTATCCATACTGTGTTATGTCTTATTATTGCAATACAATGCAAATACATTATCAGGTGAATAGTAGAAGGGGATTCTTGTACATACTATCTTCGTAATATTACAATGACTATAATATTATTATTATATTTATATAGCGTAGGTATAGTCTTTATAGTTCGCTGTACATTCTTGTATTTATTGTGGTAGGGAATGGTACTAGATAATACATTGGGTCAATATTCGGTATGAATTTCAAGGTCCTACGTATATATATGATTCGAGTCGTTTGTTGCCCAACATCGCGTCAGTTAACGGGAGAGGGTCAAGGGGGTCTGGACCCCCCAGGGTCTAAATTAAGGTTGTAATTATACTAAACTTGTTCTTCTATAAACGTCCCGTATTTATATAATAGGTATAATTTTAAAATCTTGAATTACAGACAAATTGTGAATTTATTAAATCTAGAGCTGTTGTAGTTATATTAATAAAAAAATAATTAAATTTAGTAACATTATGTAATTATTATAATAGTGTTATGTTATTGATAGTAATTGTATGATAAATATTTTCTTGAACGGTTTACTGACCAAAGTTAAATCAATACATGGACCTATACATAACAATATTTGCTATTATTATTTGTATTTGTGAACTACTTAGTTAATGATGTAGTAAATTATGAGTACCTAAATAATTTTTACTTAGATTGTTATTCATCGTTATAAAAACATAACAATATTTGCTTATTATTTGTGAACTACTTAGTTAATGATGTAGTAAATTATGAGTAAATAATTTTTACTTAGATTGTTATTCATCGTTATAAAAACCGGGTAGGTATTTGTACAATTTAGATGTATCATATTGACAACTCGTTAAATATATTCAGGTAGTCGATTTTGTGCTTCCTTACTCAGTCGTTGTAATTATTCATAAAATATTATACATTTGGATTTCTTAGATTTCATGCGGATCGACGAATGTATTGGTTTTACAATAACGTGGGTTTTTTTGTGTCTGTCACCGCCTTTTAATGCAGTAATATGTTCTTCTAAAAACATTAAGGGAGGTTTTTAGTTTCTCAGTGCCTTTCGAAATAGGCAATCAAGGAAAATAACAAAAAATACTGAAAAACGGGAATAATAAATATAATATCCTTACAATATAATAGCCTGCACATTGTTTTTTGTATGCAATGGCCAAAGATTATTGAATATAAATTTAACAAATCCATTAAATTGTTTTACTCAACAACACGAGATATGCACTCGAACCCTTCTATATACGGTAGAGCGACATTCTCAGTTTTTTTTTTAATTGCTTTAATAGTAGCAAACTTAAGCAATGCTAATTATTTAAGAGTATTTTCCTATATGATTAAGTACTAAACTTTTTACGAAATTATTATTTTACTCTTGTACCTATAGTACCTATAAGTTAAGCAGGCTCGGTCCGCGGTCGACGGTAACCGTAGTCTTATACTATTTTTTAAGACAAAAAGTAGGAAAAAACATTGGCCCACACTAAATACTATATTATAGCATTTGAATATTTATTTATTTATTGCATTTTAAATTATATAATATAGGTACCTAATAATATCATTTTTAAGTATAAATATTTAAATAAATATATTGTTTACTTACAATACCATAAAAAACATTGCTTAGATATTTGAGGGATATTTTTGTTAATTTAGTTGGAAATGTTCTATGGCGTATATAAGGAGAGAATGAGACCAAATTTAATTAAAACGCTGCTATCGTATCGTTAAACGGGACACTATGGAGTTTTATGGGCCCGAAATAGTCGGTTTTAGATATTCAGAGAAAAAATTAATTAAAGTTGTTGTAAAGTCCTAGGGCGGCGAGGGTTGAGATTCCGTATGAAGTTCTCTCTCTTATGGAACGTTTGAGCGGGTGATACCAACCCTTTATATTTGTACTGAGAGAGAATATAGTGAGGAAGGGCATTTGAGCAATTTTAAAGAAGGTCGGAGAATGACTGAGCCTCTAAAAAAAATAATATATTTTAGGTAGTAAATAACATGTACCTACCCTTTACGGCCATACTATATAATATAAAGTATTTATAATAAAAGATCGTTAACGTATATTGTATAACGTTATAATAGTTAATAAATAAAATGTATCAAATAATTTATAAATATAATAGTTAATACCGATGTATAGATTTTACCCACAGACTTCTTTCTGTCGCACGAGCCTCGTGCGGAAAATAAAAATATGTTTTGAATTCACATTTAGCGTGACAGTCTTAACCGGTGATGAAATCTTTAACGCAGCATTTTCGGTCTAACGAAATGTATACTTGGGTGAAATATTTCTATTAAATAATAATCGATCCCAGTTCGAAAATTCAACAATTTACATTTACAATAAAAGATCTTAAACGTCGACTCCTTGTCGCGTGGGTGGTCGTGTACAGCAACACACCGATTTAGATGGTTTTTTTTATTTATTAATTATGTAATATAAATATGGACTATGTATTGGCCTCAGATATGTTATAATTATATTATTATCTATATATTTTACAATGAACATTTTGTTAATATCGATTCTGCTTTATTTTTTGGATCTGTGTTTAAAACGGCAGTGTTGCTATAACACGTTGCGTGAATAAACCTCTGTTCTCGTCGGTCGCATATCGGTAGTAACGTCTTATTACTATCAGTTTTTATGTAAATTAGACACACGGTTGTATACCTACCATTTAAATGTAAATGCACCGAACCTCAGTAAAAACTCTGCGTAAATGACTTCTCTTATATCACACAAATGGGCTAGATTCGCGTGCTTATAAATGTTGAATGCTTCAATGTTGTGTCTAAAGTAGCTTTACTATATTTTACACGATTGAGCAAAACGGAATTTTACGCGTAAAGGCGTTGTGCGTAGGCAACATATTCAACTCGTCGGTCGCCACCAGTTTTCGTTGGCGTGACATGTGTGACGAAACGTTCTTGCACTAGAGTTTTTGTATAACATTTTATAGCAATCATTAATTTTTGACGATTGACAAACACTAAATAATTGTATTATTATACGCTTGACCTCCCAGTCTCAGTCCACGACTACAATGTAGGTACTCGGCGTTTGCTGCTATTTTTTTTTTTTATTCTCCCAGATCTGTGGATAGTTGTTGTTTCCAAGCTGTTGTGTTAAACTGGGCACGTTTTGATTTGATTTTGTAGTGAACCAAAAAAAAAACCAACTGAAAATGATTCTAGTGAAACTGATTGAAGACGACAACGGACTCGGGTCGCTGCCTGAATGGGCCGCTGTGGAAGTGCAAGGTGAGCTCGAAACCCGCCGGCATACGCCGCTCGAACGCCAGTACGTCGGTGACCTGTTTGCGACCATTCATGATGGCGTGCCCATATTGATCATCGGCCATCATATCCTGTACGGCAAAGCGCAGACGTTCGAGAAGCCATTCGCCGTGATGAAGAAGAAGTCTGACGCAGACGAGTACGTGGTCGAGGCCATTGTCACCAAAAAGTTGCTGTTCAAAAACCGGCCCAAGCCCATCATTGCCTGTCATTCCGACGACCTCTGAACGTGTCCGGCTCTCAGTCGTCGGTTATTTCCATTAAAATTTTATAATTCGTCGTTTATACACAATGCTTCAATATTATACTAATCATATGTAATTCATAATTTCCGCCGACCTGACGTGATCTGATTTCTGTTGAAACGAAAACTATATTGTAATAAAGAACCTACCATACAATATACATTATTTTTCCAAACTATGCGACTTTTTATTGCTGCTGTAGTTGTAGTTGTAGTTGTATTTTTAGCGCGGCCGGGGCACTTTGTGTCCACGACGCCTAAAATGATCCAGCTAAGCAACCCAACTCTCACTGGTGATGTTTGTGAGTGTTTCTAACGGCGGTTGTTAGCTGTACGATCTTTTATTAATTGTACTCTAGGAATGCATAATATAACAATTGAAGTTTGTCATTTTGCATTTACGGACGATTTCGATTTTCTATTAGAGGTATTAAGTGCCCACGTAGACTTGAGCCTATGTCGCCTGCCCCTTGAGCTGGGCCCTGAATGTACGAACCAATATTGTCATATATTACGCCGTGTTCCATCCAATGCCGGTCTAGGATCTAAACAAGAGTATATTTCAATAACGTCAATAACGCCGTATTAAAATGATTAATGTATTCATCGATAGGAGGGCGGCTTTTGGTTTCGATTTTTTTTAGAAAAGGTAATTTTGTGGATTATAATTTAATACATTATAATAATTGTGCATGTATAGTCACTCTAATCGATCCACGTCACCGGCTGGCGTTGTTGTTGTTATAATGACAGTTAATTATATAATATTTTATCGCACATTTTTAATACACCAACAATCGTCACGGAATGCAAATAATTGAATAATTGTCGATTTCGTCGTTTGCTCTATAGTCTTTACTGTATTACAATACAGGTATATGCATAATACAATAATATATTTCTCGTGTCTCATCTTGATTCACCTCGATCCCAGTAAGTAGTAATCACTAATCGTGATTTACGCGTCTGATCGTTTAATGTTTTTTAGACATATTATGCAGCATTCGTGTTGATGCGCTTGAACGTTGTTTTCGTTTATTGTTCCCCTCTCGAAACGACATTGATCTCAAAATCACCATTTGTAATGCCTGTGTATATTATATGAACATTCGTTTTCACCGACGTATATCGATTATTCTCCGAACTATATAATAATATAATCGATACAATAATTTAATTATGGCGCATAACACGAGTGTTGAGTTCGCCGAGTAACACGATATCTGTGTAGTATGTACGGGAGAACAATAACGCGCGAACAAAAGTCGTCTTATTATTTATTACGCGCGAGGCGTAATTTAAAAGTTTCAAAAACAAAAACGTTATTATTCCATATAATGATGCGGTCCTTGTCCTCTATAATAATCAAAGCTGATATATTACACGGCGTGGAATACCAATATATTATTGTGTTATTGCAAGCGTCGAAAAATCACTACAATCGTGTGTCTGTATGACTACTATATAAATATATAATACATAATAATATAACGACGCTGCAAAAACCAAGTGTCGTTACATAGTGAAATATATGATTGTAATAAATATTTTTAAGACGTCCGACCTCTCTCTCGATTTCTCTTTCTGTGTGTGTGTCTCTCTCTATTTATCCCTCGACTTGTTTAGGTGCACAGGGGCGCGTGAGTCGCTGCAGTGGTTTTCTTATACAATACAACAATATTATATATATTTTTTTATCGAAATCTTACTTTTCTCCCTGTGAACCCACGTATTTGTAGATTGTTTATTGCTAATTCGCGAACTGGCAATAATATATTTTATGTATACATAGTATACATTTATCTATAAATAATAATATATATAAATACAAAACAAAAATAATTCTTTGAAAATGTTTGGTAATGATTTTTCAAAGAAAATCGGGTCGGCGAATTCGAGCCAAGGTCTCTATCCTATGGTGTTTGGTATGTGAGTGCGAGCCGAGCGACGGTGGTTATATAGTCGACAGCCGGTCGAATAGACTGTTACAAATTCGTACGACCGAGAGGCCTGTTCCCAAGGACAAAGGACGCGATGTTAATTAAGTCCCTCGATTGTCTCGAGTTTATATTATGATTATTATTATTATAAATCTAAATCTTGGAAACGTTTCTTTATTTCGCATATAATTATTAATAACGTTCAATGTCAGGATTTCCCCCACCCCCACAACCTTCTCGGCGATTGAGTCTGACGTCTAAAAAACACACATTACACTATTACAGAATATTGTACAATATGATATTATAGTACCTACAGTGTTACAAAGTTTCTAATTTTTAAAAACATTATAATATTTATTATTTTATTTTTAAAGTTGTAATCTTATAATCGTGCGGAATAACTGCGGTACTATTATTAGTGCTGCGCAGCACTATTTCTGGCATTCGTCTTCAGACATAATATTTTAATGTCAAAACTTAAAAAGTGACAAAAGTTAATCCCGCTTAGTGTCAATTAATTAGTTAATTATATTACAGGTGCATTTAAGTTTTGTAATTAGGAAAAACAAACAAATTACTTTTAGTGAAAATAAATTTCAACATGGTTTCTTTTTGGACGACGCGTGACGTGTTATTTATTTCAAAACAAAAAAAAATAATGTGACGTGTACAAATTAACTGTTTGTCGTCTCGTTACTATTATTATAATTTGTAACTTATAGTACTTCAATTTCAATCGTCCGTCTAGATTATGACATATTATTATTATTTATATGCGCGATATAATAAGGGTATACCGCCTAACATCGTATTTGTGTTTGAACGGTTGTTGAGCACCTACCTAAATTTGTTTTTTAAAACATTTGCGTTGCCCTTGAGTAGTATACTTGAAATTCATTTTTACATGAACAATTGACTGATACAGTGCCATCTCGACCTGATGATAATTTGTCAAAATGCAAGTTTCCTGCTATTGTAGGCAGAGAAATGGAACACATTCTTCCTTTCATTATTTAAAAACAATGAAATTATCATAATTATTTGGACTAATATATAGTATTAAATTATCAAAGGGCAAATGTCTAACACGGTTCACTCCGCTGCCTTGAAAGAGCCTTGGTCTCCTTATTTTTCTTTCGTTTTCATCGTCCCCGTGTAATACCTATCTAGGTGCACTATATATAATACTGTGTACTGAATTTTGGAAAAATGTTCCATGCGTCTTTTGAATTCAAATAATCTACCTACCTCGACGCCGAAATGTAAATTGTTTTTCTTTGACATTATCCCAATATATTAGTCCGTCGTCGAATTCGCCGGAGTTATGAAATAAATAATAACAATAATATTAAGCCTATACATGATGATTTTATAATATTAAGATTATTACGTATTTAAAAGAAAAAAGAACTACTTATTTCCTAATTAGATTGGGTGGTTAAGGTAAACCAGTCTCCAGTGTCTTCAATTCAATTGGCTTCTTTTTTTGTCGAGGAAGTCACGAATACTAACGTTTGAATAAGCTTCAGACACTGAACCATCACACTTACACTCCTCTGTAAATTCCTACAAAGTTTTGGAAACGCATTAATGATTATGACATTTATTGTGTTACTGTTGAATAAATAATAAAGTAATAACAAATAATAAATAAAATTTAAATGATAAATACTTTTTTACGTAACATTGTAAAATGTTGCACAAAGCACAAATAACATTTACCGAAACAGAGAAGCTAATAATAACGTTATATATGAGGTAATACAATTACCAGTATGCTGTATGCCCTACAAGACATAATGTACACTGACATTGGGACCATGTATATTGTATAGTGTATACTAATATTATTATTAGCCCTAAGGTCGCCCTGAAACTGGCTATGCAACTGAGACAGTTTGCTTTTTTTGAAGGGATTTTTCATGCATTTTGTTTGGTTTTTTTATCGCCTTCCGAAGGTCAATTTGTATGAATAAAAGAGATAATACATTTTTGTTTGTCAGATAATTTAAGATAAGATTTTGTTTTTGTAGATATTCATAATATTGTATATTATATTACAAGACGTTTAGTATGACTATATACTGTGATTATGACTTATAAGTTTAACATTATGATTAAATTATTATTATTATTGTTATTATTTTTAATTTTTAATTAAATGAAATATTGAATATTAAAAATGCTTATATCTCGCTTGAAATTAAAATATTGAAAAACCTTAGGCAAAGGAAATGTTCTTACTTAAAAGTTTGATAATAGGTCAATTCACTCTAATACCAAAACTAACAGCACACTATTGAAACTAGTAAATGGAAATTTGCTATGCCGTACGCTTGTAAGACAGATACAACAAATGCATGGGTAGCATCCTCTTAAGTTTTTATATTATGTTTATTCATTATTATATTAATTGTTGATTAAACTCACGATTATTCTATTTCCCATGCAATCGTGGCTGAACGAAAAGCTTTGATTGTCTTTTTAAATCTGCTATTTATTTCCTGTCAAATTTTTGCTGTACGCCTAAACAAAATCACTACATACGTGGCATTGTGTCAATAGCCAATGGGTAGTATTAATTATATATAATATGATAGTAATATAGTATTATTCATAGATTAATTATTATCATTACCTCGACGATATTATTATCTACGTTTAAAAGATAATAATATACTAATAATTTGGCTTCAATACGTTTCAGAGTATAAAATATATTATTATATTAGGTTTTCTATATTGTACTAGATGTTTTGTGTTTAGGTATATTACTATAATATCGTATCTTTACTGCACACTATATTGTACTACTCGTATAATATGATTATATTTCCTTATATCATCGTTCGTGTTCTCCACATAGAACGAGTTAATATAAATCGTTATGCGTTATGTAATATGTATTTTCATGAAATTATAATATATATTTTGGTTAAAGAGACCATTTCATAACACCGCGTATATTTTGTATTATATTCAACGATTTTACTTTTAAAAGTAAAAATACATAAAATCTTATACCTTACACCAGGTGGAC